GCCTGCAGGCGCAGAGCCCCGAGGCCGCGTCCCCGCCGCCCCCCGCCCGCCGCGGCCCCGACCCCTCCGACGACGACGAGGACGCGGGGGGCAGCACCGGGCGCCGCCGCCAGAAGCGGCTCAAGAACGTCCTCTCCGGCGCCGGCGAGGTCGGCCCCCCTCCCCCCTCCTTCCCTCGCCCCGAAATTCCGAGCCACCCCGAGGTTTTGCGGGCGCCCGGGCGGGGTTTTGGCCCCGCGGGACACGCGGCGATGCCGTGCCGTGGTTGTTGGATCTGCGCGCGGGTCTGCGATTTTTTTCTCCCGGGGCGCGGGGCCGGCCTCCCCCGCGGTACGGTACGGCGGGGGAGAGAATCTGGCGGGACGAGAGGGAGAGATCAGTGCACGCCACTGCGGGAGGGAGTGGCAGCCGCGGATTTTTCGAGCTTCCCGGAGAGAAGACGTTGGCTTTTTTTGGGCGGGCCTGGATTTGTTTTTGTTCCCCCTGGGGGTCTGCGTCTAGCTCAGGGGATCTCCACCTCGTCAGCGCTTTAATCCTTTCCTTTGGCGGCAAACAGTACGCGGATCTGACAAGTTTTTGACGGATTTGACTGCCTTTTTCCTCGTATTTTTGTTGTTGTTGTTGTTAACGGGTCGCGGCCAAGCAGCCACTGTCCGAGCGGCGGCAAAAGTCGTCGCCTCTCTGTGCGGCGCGCACGCAGGGGCAAGGATTTATTGCTGGCGAATGCAAAATTTTAGTACAACCATGTTGACGCAAGCTTGCGATTTCATTCATGGCTGACTGACTGATGTTCTTTTGCTGCTGCTGATGCTGCAGGAGGAGGAGGAGGGAGCTGCGGTGGAGGAGAAGAAGGATGCGGCGAAAGCGACGGGGAAAGGTGAGGTCTTGGAGGGAACCAAGCATCAGCCTTGAGGTGGTTAAAGAATTTGAATTTTTCTCTCCCTGCGGCTAACGTTTGCTCGCCTCTCGCTGCTGCTTGTGGGAGCAGGGGCCGCTGCGTCGTCGGGTGGTGGGCCCACGGGGACGCCCCTCCCGGACAAAAAGTTGCTGCTCTTCATCCTCGACAGGCTCCAGAAGTGAGTGCCCTGGCCCCATCATCCTTCATCCTCCTCTGCTTCTCTTCTCCTCCTCCAATGGTCTTCAGCCATTTGCGTCTGTTTTCTTACCCTGCCTTGCCTTGCACTGCTTCTCCCAGGAAGGACACCTATGGAGTTTACTCGGACCCTGTCGACCCGGAGGAGGTGAGCAAGCGGTTTAACTCTCATGAGTCATGACTAGCTATGTTCTTCTCATGCTGTTGTGCTGATGCTGATAGTACGGCTGTTTTGTGTGGCTGCAGCTTCCGGATTACCATGAACTCATCGAGCATCCCATGGACTTCTCAACGATCCGCGAGAAGCTTTTGAGCGACAAGTATACCATCTTGGAGCAGTTCGAGGTATGCTGCCTGTTTTTGCTGTTACTGATTCTATGTCCGATGTTTGTTTCTGCTACCGGGCTCTGTTCTGATCCAATGGCAAAACAGATGTTGGCTGATGCCCGCTGCTCCGTAATGCCTTATTTTCGAGGTCACTTAATAGGTTACCGTGCTTATTGTTTTGTACAATCGTAGGCCTTTTCAGCCTAGTTCTGTTTTTCCTTCTATTCCGTCTGTTACTGATTCTATATGTCTGATGTTTGTTTCTGTCACTGGGCTCTGTTCTGATCCAGTGGCAAAACAGATGTTAGCTTGTGCCTGCTGTTCTATACTGCCTTATTTTCTGGGTCACTTAATACATTACAGTGCTTATTGTTTTGTACAATCGAAGGCCTTCAGCCTAGTTCTGTTTTTTCTTCTATTCCGTCTGTTGCTTGTAATGTACTGACTCAACTCTTACCTGGTGTTGTTTGCTTGTACTTTCTGCATTTGGGGTTTTGAAGATACATTTCGATCTGCCCACATTAATTGAGGCGGTCGTCTGCATGTGGCTTTTGCATGTATCTTAACTCCCATCGTGGGCCGAAATAGGGATCTTTTTGTATGAATTATTGTCCTCATTGGGAGATACTCCTTTGATTGGCATTTAGAGATTTTCATTGCTGCTGTATATGATGTCCTGTACTCGAACTGTCGAGGGAGAAAAATCCAATCAGCTTTTTGAAGGTTTACTCCTACTGCAGCTCTGCTGTTGTACTTATTAATTAAGTCCGCATCTTATGCACTGAAGTGCTATGCCAGTGTGCTGTAAATGGTCACCTAACACAGTCCAACCTCCACTTTATTCTTGCCAGCTAACATAGGATAGATCACTAGAGGGTGAACTTTCATGGGGAAGTCTGTCCAGATTTATGCAGAGATAATCCTGTAATTGATGTAGATATCTCCTTCTCTGAGATATAGTTGATGCACTGGGCAGTGCTTTTTACAAATTTTAGTGCATTTTATGTCGGACCTTGTATTTTGGAAATTGATATGTTCCATTAAACCAGCAACAATGATGACAATTTTCCGGTATATATATGTTGCAATTGTATGTGAGATTCATTACTGTCTTAAGGGATGATGCAAATCATAATGGAATAATACTCTGCTTCCGTAGCATGGATCTGTTTTGATATCGATGTTTTTCTGTGCAGAATGATGTATTTCTACTTACATCCAATGCCATGGCCTACAATTCAGAAGACACAGTATACTATCGCCAGGTATATATATTTTACTATGATTTAGTGCATATGCTGCTCGTATTAAAGATGTTTCAATCCATCCTGGCACATTTACTGCTGTATTATCTGGACGGTTACTTGGTAGTTCTTTTCTTAGGAATATGTAGGATGTGTTTGGTTGGCCCTTCCATTTTTCTGGCAACCCCTAAGAATTTGGTGGATGGTCAAGTTTGGCACACCAATGGCCCTTTGACCATTTTTGCACCAACTGGAACCAAAACCTTTGCGGATTTTTGGCTAGCTAATTTGTTTTCCAATTGGTACGTATCATAATTTTTGTATGATCAGCGCGGTTCTTTGGGAACTTATGTGTTAAGTGTATAACTTGACCTTCTGCTGTTAGTTTGTATACCAACAGGACATCAAGTTTACTATTTTTCACAGCATATTTCCTCCAAAAGGACATTTTAGTATTGAAAATATTGTGCATTCACAAACGCAAAATGGAACTTGTACATTATCAGAATAGTTGCTTCTGTTCTTTTGCTTCTTACACTATTTTGTCGTGTCTGTAAAGTTGCGGTCTTCTTCTTAGCTTTACTTAAAATGTTTACATCTCCATAGGCACGGTCTATTGAAGCTCTTGCCAGAAAGGATTTTGAGAACTTGAGGCAAGCTAGTGATAGTGAAGAAGAACAGCCGAAGACAGCACCTAGAAGAGGCAGGCCACCAAAAAATGCAAAGAAAACAGTTGAGAAGGTTGAGGACGATGGTTCACCAGATTTATCCAATGTAAAAGGAAACAGATCTGTAGACAACACTGAGACAAGAAAAAGATGGACTAGTGAGAGAACTCGAAATAATATTACCATGAGAGATTCATCCATTCTTCACCACAGCACGTTCGGTTCTTTTAGTGGTAAAAAAACAGAGAAAACTGGTGTTTACTCAGGTTTGTTTTTCCTAGTGTTAATTTCTCATGTTCTCTTTGCAGTGCTGTACTCGTGGAGCATAAATAAACATGGCTAATGCTACTTTCATCGTGTAGGGTCTTCGAAGTATGGAAAGAAGACTACTATTTTAGACGATGATCGGCGGAGTACGTATGATCAGCAATACTCAAATTATAGTCCTCTTTTTTCTGCCCTTGATTGTGAGCGGAAACAACTACTTCCAGTAAGCACATTCTGACCAGCTTAAATTGAACCTTTAACTCTTGATTTATAAAACGAAACCTTTTTCAACTTAGCTATTAAGGTGAATATCCGCAGCTACTACTTTACATTTGTTTCGGATTAAATTGACTTGGAGTTGGAATACAAAAGTTTACATGCTACATCAATAAGTTTATACTGATTTTTTTTCATAATGGAAACAGATTGGGCTTCAGCAGCAACATGCATATGCCAGGAGCTTGGCACGGTTTGCGGCAAAACTTGGACCAATTGGATGGGATATAGCAGCAAAAGGAATCAGACGTGTATTACCACCCGGGACAAAGTTTGGCCCAGGATGGGTTGTAGATGGCGAGCCACCTCAAAACTCGCAGTGTCCGCGAGTTCCTGAAGTTACCGACCCGACCGCAAAGTCCAGTATTCCATCATGCGTTATACCACCCAAAAGCGATGATCTACGTCGGAGTTCTGAGCTATCTTCAGATGGGGATGCTGCCGCAGGTGAAGAGTATCTGACTAAAAACCAGCCAGTGGCGTCTACATCAGCAGGCTTTGAAAGGAGCTCTACACCTGCCAGTAAAATACCCACGTATGAAAATGGAGCTACCATGACAGGTGATGGTGTGGGTAATACTCGACCATCGCCTCCGTTACAGCAGCAGAGTAACAGTCAAGAAGTCCCCTCTAATATCAACGGAATGACTGCTGCGCCGAACACCATGGGTCAGTATGCTGGACAAGGTTTATTTGAGCAAATGACGCATGCCCAAGTGCTGGGGATGTTTTCTGGAGTCAATGGCAGAGCCAACGGGTTTCGCCATGGGCACCAACTGACGGAGGAGAGTGTTAAAACAGCGCAGAATGGAGTGATTGGAAAGGCAGCTACCACCACCAGCTACTTGCAAGAAGCAGATCATGGTCCAAAGGGTTCATATCCACAAGACGAGAACAGGTCCGCTTCTCCAAGCTTGAATGCTGCCGGTTCCCCGCCTAGGGGGAAAGCGGCAGCGAATCCGAAGCAACCAGACTTGGTATTACAGCTGTGAGAAGCGCAGTAGCAGCCATTGACATACATAGTTAGTATCTGCCACCGCTGATGGAAACGAGATGGATCGGGAATTCAGAATCCTGCTTCTCCAGGGCCGATCATCCAGCTCCGGATCCGCTGATAGTACACCCGAGAGGTGCCCAAGAGCTTGGAAAGAAGGATAATCAAAGACTTAACCAACCGACGGAGAATAAAATGAGGGTCGTGGGAATTGAAGGGAATAATCAGGGATTGACCCCTAGCGAGCGGGCGAATGAAGTTGTTGTAAAAGGGTAGGTAGTGTACAGATTCTGATCCTATTGGAGACGACGATAATGTTCCAGCGCTCGCCTGGTAGCAGCAACCGAATCGAATGTGTAACATTATTTATAGTAGAGAAGTTAGCATACATGCAAGCAAAGCGGGAAGAAGAAGGCAAAGGTGAATAGTTGTGCCGTTTCCTCCGTTCCATCTTGACCTGAGCAGCGGCCTGTGGCATGATCATGTTCTAGTAGTAGTAAGAATCCAATCTCATGACATGGTTATGTTATGTGGTGGTGGTAGTAATGATTTGTTGAAGTTGAATATATTTCTTGCTGTGGAATCTTGTTGGTATATGCTGAAGAAATTGGATGGATGGATGCTGTTGTTTTCGTCCTTTTGGGGATGTGCTTGGGTGTATTTGCTCCTTTTTCAAAAAGTTCAATAATTTTCACTCACCCAAGGAATTTATTTAAAGAAAACTCCACATGTTTGCTTGCAGATTTTCCAAGTTTGCGGAAATCGCAAATTGTTTGTGAGATGTGCAAAAAGGGAAAAAAAATGACGATCCCAAGCAATTTTCCAGAACGTTTAAAAAGCCATTTGGATTCCTTTTTTTTATTTGTTCACCCGGATAGCAAATCGATGAATGTTTTCACAAAATGTTTCTTCACATGGATCACTCGGATATTTGCACACCAGCAAAGAAATTTTTCTTCAAACCTTTGAAGTTTGTTCTTCCTGTGCTTTATCAGCCCTTTTAACCGTGGCTGACACTGACAGGGTGTGGGGAAAGCTATGTGCATCCGCTGAAGCCGAAGAGCAAAGTAGGCTTCAAGGCCGTGCGGCTGCAGCCCTCCGGCCGGTACGGCGAGGAGTTCCAACACGCCGGCCATCGGTACTGGCTGGACACCTTCCAGAGTGCGGAACTCGCCGCCCGCGCCTACGACATCGCGGTGTGGCGGGTCGGTCTGCCGCTGGATAGGCTCGACTTCCCGGAGATTGAGTCGTTGGAGGCACCGGAGCTCATCGGGCCGAAGGTGACCATTGTGACCCTCAGGACGAAACCGAACACCGATAATGCCGCTGAGGAGAGCAACACGGAGATGAATTTCCTTTTCTCAAAAGTAAAGAGCCGCCCCGGAATAGAAAGCAGAGGAGGAATCCGTAGCGCCACCATCTCGATGTGTCTGTCTGTGCGGGAGCACAGTGCGACACCCGTCTCCATTGTTGCGACTCGTCGCCCATGTGTCGGACCGGGCGGAAGGAAATATGTGTTGTCGATCAGTACGAAATTTGTGTTGCGAGGATACGACACAACGGGCTACCAAGACCCATGTCGAGGTAGGGCCAACTCCAACGCACGACCCCCAAATCGTCCAACGGCGTTCGTTTGAAGTGAAACGGACACAAATCGCGGCCCAACACACGCCCGTAAACGGACGCCCGCGCCGACCCATTTCCGGCTTAAATTTGGGTTGCGTTGTGTCGAAATGGACAGCGCGCGGACGGGCGGGACGCGCGCCCTTGTCCTCCCCCTGACCCGCCCGTCGGTCACTCAACACTCTCATTTTCCCTATTTTTTCCCAAAAACCTCCCGTCCTCCCGCTCCATGGTCGGCACCCCAAAGCAATCCGCCGCCGCCGTCACGGACACCACCTCCGCCCATCCCCCGGTAAAGAAGAAGAGGAAGCCGAGGTCGGAGCTCATGCCAGCGGAGCTCGACCGAGAGGAGAGCTCGGAGGTCCGTTCAGGCAGAGAGGAAAGCCGCTGCCGAGTTCGCCCTCGAGGCCACCACCGCCCAACAAGAGGCCGCCTTTGAGGACTAGGAGGCTATCGCCGCCAAGGCCACACAACCAACGACCACGCATGCCCTCATCATGCTAAGGTTGTGCCGACGCACGCCACCTCTTCTTTGCGCCGCCGCCATGGCCGCGGCGAGCACATGCGCGTTCGACCGTTCACCCACCATAGGAACGGTTCCCGAGCTCATAAAACCGCAAATGACCGTGTTCATCCGACGCACGCATGCTCTGACACGATTCATGATGACGTCGGATGGAAGCGTGATCGTGTCGGCCACACCCACCCCCGTGTCCGTCATCGACCTCAGTGTCACACCTAGGTCAGGTGGTGTCGACAATTCGACCCCAGGGATGCAAAGGAAGCAACTGCAGGCAACTCATACGACCAACTTTACCGACATGCGCAACCTGTTCGACGGAACGCCCAACCCGACGCCGGCGCAAGACAACCCCGAGTTCCACGCTTTCATGAAGAATGTCATCTACAAGGGCCGTGGCCAAGCCTTCCAACCCGAGGATCACCGCCAAGGAGACGATCTCGACGAGGCTCAAAGCCAAGACGGCCGCCGCTTTGGCCATGGCCAGTGGCGGAGCCAGAAAAAATGGATTAGGAGGGCCGAGTGCAGTTAAAATGGATTGGGAAGGGCCAAACAACAGAAAGACTATCTCCCAGCAGTAAAAAATCATTAAGTCTGTACTATTCATGAGCAAACTAATAGTAAATCCATGGTGTTAGGGGGGACCAGGGCCCCTGCTGGTCCCCCTGTCTCCGCCACCGGCCATGGCGACCATGAAGAAGGGCCTGACATCTTTGGCCATGGCGACCATGAAGAAGAGGACGACCGCGGAAACTCATGGCATGATAACCTCTATTGTGAAGAGGAGAAAGAGGGCGTAGACATTGAGGATGAGTCATTGTCTATGGACGAGCTCACCCAAAGAGTCAATGCCCCAAAGAGGAAGCAAAGCATTCGCAGGTGATCATACACTAAAGACGAGGACATGTTGATTTGCGAGAGTTGGACGGAAATAAGGCAAGATCCCCAGGCCGCCGCCAAGCAAAAAGGTGTCGGTTTTGGGGGGAGAGTTCATGCGACCTTTCATGAATGTTGGAAGTTTCCGCCCTACAAGTTTGCGAGCACCAGTGGCATCAACTCAATCCAGAAGAGATGGTTGTTTATCCAACAAAAATGCAACAAGTTTTATGTCGTGCTTGAGATCATCGAAGCCCGTCCCGTGAGTGGCCTAGGTGTGGGCGACTTGGTATGAACTTTTTATCTTCCTTCCTATGCCATGTTCATGCATGTTGCATTTTCTGTCCTTCGCTATCACATTGTGGCCTTCTCGTTGATTGTGTAGGCATTCTATACTTTCGAAGCCTTCAAGGCCCGGCATAAGAACAAGCCATTCACCTTCACCCATTGTTGGACGCTCATCAAAGATTGCTCCAAGTTCAAAGATCAATATGCCGCTCTAAATAAGAATGGAGGGCCAGCAGCCGTGGTTGGGGATGGTGATGGGGTGAAGAGGCCGAGAGGTAAGACCAACTCGAAGATGGACGAGAAGCCTGATGCGACATATTTTGCCATGCAAGAAACTTTGCGAGGCATGATGACCCATAAGGAAGCAAGGGACGAGAGGAAACGCCAAGAAAAGGAGGAGCAAATGAAGGCCTACATGGAGATCCAGACGAAAAGCTCGACATGAAGGAGGCCATCAAGAGGAGGAAGCTCGACATCGAAGAGGCCCTCGAAACGAAGAAGCTCACAATTGGGGCCACCAATGTAAAGACCAAAGAAAAATATGTGGCACTAGATTTTATGATCGTCGACTTGAGCAAGATGTTCCCCAAAAGAACAAATTGGTTCAAGAAGATGCAAAAGGAGATAATCAACGGATGTGAGGAGTGAGTGGGCTTGTGTGACGACATGAACTACGGAGGCCGCGAGACAGGAACTATGACCTTTTTTGAAGGCTGACATTTGTGTCGCCCGCTGGCTTTCTTGCCGGCATGATCATTTTGTAGGCTGGCATGTGTGCCGAGCGCTGGCTTTGTTCCCGGCGTGATACTATGGGATTGTTCATTTTGTAGGTTAGCATTTGTGCCAGCCGCTGGCAAGCACTATGGCCGTGAAAATTTCAATGTTGGTTTCCTTTGCAAAAGTTCAGCTGGCCGGACGAAATGCGTCTGTCGGTGGATGCATGGCCCGCGCAAATGTAGAAATGGCCGGCCTTAGCCCCTTTGCCCGACAATATAATACGGACAAAACGGATGTTCGTCTGGAGTCATGCGTTGAAGTTGACATAAACATTGACCCGAAGTTGACCTTACCCGTGGGAAATGCTCCCAAACCTATGTGTCCGTCCGTAGAGATTGGATAGTCACAAGGTAGTAGATCAGGGGTGGCAGCTGGTGATGTGACGTGACGCTCCGTCAGAAGACAATCCCCAAAGGGGAGGAGGGAATCCGATACCTCCATCCCGGTGATTGATTTGAGCGTCACCATCTCGGTGTGCCTGCGTGTGCCGTGGACACCACACCCCCGCTCACTCACTCACAACCGGACGGCCGCTCTATTACCTTTTTATATGGTCACACCGAGACTGGTTGTCCTGCTCGCTTCCTCGCTCTCCGATCCGATCAGACAGTTCCGTGTTCAACAGCCCCGCACCTTCCGTGTATGGCATGGAAGCGGCTACAAGACAGTCGACTAAATTTTTCGAACGGGCCAGTTGATTCTAGTTCAACCGTTGGATCAAAAAACTAATGTCCAACCTTCATCTTCAACCTCACGCAGATCTTTTTCTTCTTCCTTTCACGGACAATTTGTCTCGCCCAACCGCCCCACGGACCACCGGCCGAACCGCCAGCCACCGCCGCCTGCTGTCGGCGGCGCTCCCGTGCTGCCTCGCCGCCCCGCCCTCCCCTCAACCTCCTCCCACTGTCATTC